TTTTTTTTAGAAAAACTCGCCTGATCACTCGAGATGAATTAAAAATCGATTGGCGTCTGCTTTATCATTGGGCTACACTTATTTTTGATAATCATGATCAAAACAATGCATTGGTCACATTGCCTAAGTTCGTAGCCGAATTGTCATAATCGAGAGCGATTAGAATTTGTTATCTATATTGGGTTTCTACGCTTTTTCAGAGACATCAAGGATTCCTACTTTTTCTGTGTATTCTACTGTTCTCCATACTTTTCGGCAACAGCAACACAAGAGATCCTCGAGGAATTTCGTCCACATTTGTGTCCAACTGATTGGACTTTTGCCAATACTATTCGAATGCTCGAACTCTTGTTGCCTGTACATTTGCCACCGAATTTGCACAATCAAGGATTCAAGTTTGTTTGTTTTTGTTTTCTAATTCTACATTGCATGACATACATCACATTCTAACTTTAGATTATGGCTGCCGGAATTTTTTGGTATTTGGGAGAGTATATACAATGATACAGTGTGGGAACTGGTGAGGTTATTTATTTTTATGTTTATCCACTAGTGTTGTTTTATATAGCGTCTGACAATACTTTTTTCCTGTGTCGCTTGGTACAATATTGGATACGTCAATTGGGAATCCTGGATGCCACAGGTGACAAATTTGTTGATTCTATTTTTTTAAAAACTTTTTTAACATTTTTTCATATTAGATTTTCACACGAATACTCAGAGGGTTTTCTCTTCCGATCGGCAAATTACAAGTGTCACCACATAAATACAGCTATTTGATGTATTCGATTAGCAGATGGATCGTTGCTATGGTGGGCAATCGAAGTTCATGCCTTCAATATTTGCGAGATCTATTCATTGCTATCAAAAGTTTCTATCATCCATCGAATACGGGAGATTTTCAAGAGAATCTTGTCAGTTTTGTCTTAAACCTTTCTTATTGCTTTGTCGAACGAGTTTATCTGTGAGTACACACACCGCACATATGATATCCATATGAACTGTATAAAATTTTATAGAGAACGAAAACCATGTCCTGTTTGGCATTTCATACCACACGATTCATATCGACTAACTGAACAGGATATTACTGATTTTGTCAATTGTGTCAAAGAATATGCGTTTATTTCCATTTTCAATAAAGATCATGCCAAGAACGCAACTGAAGCCTGTCAATATCTGTCTATGCTTCGACCAGAATTGATCGTACCACCAATTGTTGAGAAGTATGAAATATATGTTGCTTTTTTCTTTCTCGATAACTTAATCTTTTATTCATTCTTAGACTTTTCGCATCAATTGATAATACGAATGAACCACATCGATTCACATCAATCATGACTTGTCTAACACGTATAACTCGTCAATTAGTACGACAAACATCTTGTTATTCTCAAGGACAAACCTATGTGTTACCATTAATTACGTCCGTATTACCTGGTATTGATTTGAATGATTTCAAAAAGACATTAGTTACATTGGAATTTCTCGATACAATTTTTATGCTTATTACATGTGTTGATTGTTCATCAGCAATACATATTCGAAATGATCTAACCGAGGTGAGAATTTATTTTAGCGTCAAGAAAAAGTTGACATTTTAACTTTTATTTTGATAGATTGAAAAGAAGGTTTGTTTATCAACAGCAAAATTTAGCAATTTTATCAATGAGTTTCTTGATCGCATTTTTGGAATGATTAAAATTTTATCAACCGACACGTCTGATGCAACTGTAACAAACGATGAGGCGAACATGGAAGATAGCACTCTTGAATCAAAACTCACATCGATCATGACCAACATTGTTCAACAATGCAGTAGTAAAATCTTCCGAGTATGTGTGCGCATACACCATTTTGTGTTCGTAATGTAAAAAGTCAACGAAAAATGAATCAAAACTCAGTTATTCTCCTGAATAATTGACCTTCTCTCTTCAACTATAATTTGATTACTATGATTTTTGTATGTTTTCACTTTTTCTATGTGAATTACTAATATTAGCCAAGGTTCAGAAAATGATCTATTAGGACTTCTAGAATCTAAAAATTTCTTTGTCCAACGTAAAATGATGTAAACCAAAGAATGTTCTTTCATGTGGTCCTACAAATTGTACTAAGAACTTACGTCAGAAGAATACGAAACGCCGCTTCTCACCCTGATACTGAACAATAAAATGTCTCTGTTTTTATCAGAATATGCATTTTTTTCTTTTCAACACAATCATAAACAACTGAGCAAACAAGCAACATAGTGTTTGTGCCTTTTTTCATTTGGCAAAACAAATCTTTTAAGAGAATATGAATAAATATTTGAATGACAATAAATGAGAGGGAAGACTCCGATTGAATTTAAGGTTCATTATTACTGTCGACTCTAAAAAGGCTGAGCAGCAAGTCAAAAAAACTGCTTTTTTGAGCAAACAAATCTTCATTTTATGCAATTCAAATATAAGAATTAGATAAGACCGTATTCTAGAAATTCGATATGAAAGGTTGTCCAAAATAGCGATCTCGATAGGATTTGTTAACGTACGAAAACTAACGATTTTCAAAATATAGGCGATTTAACATTGATCTTATGTACATTATATAGTTTAAAATATAATTTTATTCAAATATTAGAATTCTATCAACCAAAAAAGTATATGGACTCAAAAGTTTCTTATTATTAGGAATCTTTCCTCCTCAGTTATGATTTCGAACTGACCAAGCGGAAATCTATACATCATCAACATTTTTTATGTTTTTTGAATATTTAGATGATTCGAGAGAAGATAACAGATTTTCTTACTCATGCATGTTGGCCTTCTAAAGTGAGAAAACTTGTTACTGGTCTTGTTCGAGCTATTGTCATGGGCGACTCAGTCGAAACACTCAAGTATCTCTTACCAAAAACATGTGAATCTATCAACAAGATCATAAATGACTCAGAAGGAAATGTTTTATTAAACGATCACAAAGGTGACAAAGAACTTACCTGGTATTTAGTTCTCTTCTCGGAACTCGTTCGTGCTCGTGGTGATACTCTAATGATTTACAAAGAAACAATTATCTCGGTGTTTCATCGATGTATACAAATTATTCACAAAGGTTCATATAAAGCTATTGCTAGTGCAGCTAAGCATATTCTCAAATCGCTCACTCATGTATATATAATTGATACTCGATTGGCGATTGAGAATATCGATGAATCATTTATCGACTTTTTGCCAATTCGAGTGAGTTTTTCTTGTTGATATGTCATATTGTTTGTTTGTATGATTATTCAGGCATGGGGTCAACCTACCAATGCCGATCAAGTCCAAGTTCAATATCATATACCTAATGACGACGAACTTGATTTCGTCCGTGAATTTGTTGAGACATTCATGTATGTTGAATTGGATTTATTGAAAGAGAAAAGCTCGAAACTATCAAATGATGAGCGATTGAGATCATTGACAATTGTTCACCAGATTGCCATCGGATGTTTCCGCATAGTACCACGTATCGGTAGTTCATATGTACCAAATTTGTGAGTAAATCTAAAACATGAAAAACATTTGAAAAAAACAATATTGTACTATTTTTTATTGTGTCAGAGTGCCAACAGTTGTTCCCTACAGTGCACAATCTCAAGCTCAATATTCGATATTTTCCAAACAGCCTAGTAAGAAAAATTGTTTCGAAAGAAGTAATACTTATCTGATTGATTATTAATTTCAGAATTTCGAGAAAACTTACGATTGCGTCTTCTCATCGACATTGGAAAATTACTCGGTGAATCTTTTATTGATGAATCATTTTAAATCTATATTATTAATTTCGTAGACATGCTTGTAGACAATCATTCGGACGATGTTTCATCCATCAAAATGGCACACAAGGTAAGCATTAGTACCATGCCTAATGTTACTCTCTTAGTCAATGCACATGCTAAATTGTAGATCTATTCAGCCACATCTATCTGCTATGGCGTATCTAAAGAACGTACTAATGAATTGCGCAAAGAATTTCAATCTAGCAAGCAGTTAATAAAAAACAGACTCTGTAGTGACCGGCAAAACCCTCGATTTCTAACTATGAAGAGAATAGCATTACAAATCGAGGTAATGGAAAATGGCAAAAGTGGATACAGATAAGACTGATCAATTTGTTTTTTAGCTATTCGAAATGATTGAGTATGGAACGTTGACTGAAATCGACAAACAAGTCGCACTAAAATTGTTCGAACTATCAATAAATCGATACAGTGAAGTGAGTCAGAACATTTGTTCTGAAGGAATATTCAAATTTCTTTGCAAAATCTTAGATACGTCGCCATGCACAAGTCGAATTGTTCTCCGTTCTTAGTCGTTATCGTTTTTCATCACAAATGATTGTCGATCGTATTATAGAACTGCTCAATATATCAAGTGCAGTCGATCATGATCAAATCAAAGTTGGCCATCATCGCTTTTCTTCTCCTAGAAATCTTTTTTTTTCTAATCCATACTTATTTAGGGTTGTCTTTATATTCTTCTCGGCAATAATTCTTACTTCTTGCCCACGGAAGACTCGTGGACAACAATAGAAAAGTTATGGCCAACCATGGTGCGCATGAATCATGCAAACAAACTTAGTACACAAAATTTGATCAGTGATATCAAGAAAAAAATCAACAGAATTTTTGTTACAAAAGAAATTACTCAAAATACTAACGAGACAGCAATACGTTCGGCAGTCGTTCTATGGCGTCCGTTAGAGTTGAACAAAATGGAAACATATGAAGTACGTAATCAAGCCAATATTCAATCGTACAATAAACTTATGGAAACTCTGAGTTCGCTACTGAAAGGCAATATCTTGTGAGTCTTCAGTTTTCATATCTGAAAATTATTTTCATTCTTTTTTTCTATGATGAACATATAGGTCATGGAGACAGCAAGAGATGGCAATGTCTTTCCTTTGTCTTCTTCTTCAAAAACATGTACCAATTCCATCATCTTGTATTCATACATTTGTTGATCTTCTTGTCCATGATAATATTGAATTGAGAAAGGTTCGTTGATAAATGCGTACAGAAAAATGAGAAATCTTTTGATGAATTCTATTTAGTATGCTGTAAAGAGCATAGCAGCAATTTGTCGTTTGCAAAAGCCACCTAGAATCTATGTTGAAAAATCTATTGACGAAGTTCTTCATGAACACAATAACGGGTCGTCAACAGTTATCATACGTGATGAATGTAATCCGGGCGATCGTGATGATAATTTATGGATAACAATTGATGGTTATAAACCACCCAATACTCAAGCTGAATGGGAACAAATGTGCTTTTTGGATAAAACGTTTCATGGTTATTACACATGGCCTAAAATGATTAAATATCCAATGAATAAACGAGCACGTTACACACAAAATGATATGCCAGAACAAGTGACCATCATATATAATCGTTTTATTGACAAAAACTTTGTTATACAATCAACAAACTTAATGGTTTCAGATGAAAATACCGACGAGATCAATTTCAATTATGTCCGATATACTATGTTCAAGGTAATATATAAAAGTAACACAGATATAATGTTTGAAAGAATGGTTTGAGGTGTTCATTCACGTGATAAAAGTGCAGAATTTCAGGTCTGATATAAGAATCGTTTTTCGGCGCTAAAGACTTCTCATTGCTCACTTTTAAAAATGTCGAGATTTCAATTAAGGAATATATAATTTCGTTTAATTTAAATTATTTCCTCTTGCATGAAATAGATTACTGATTTGGTGTTTCTAGAGTCTCTTTCGCAATTTTGGTCATGCATTTGTTGATAACTTCATGGAACAATTGTACGTATTCATTCATGAAAAGACACAAGAAAAGCAAGAGGATAGTCATCGAGTGGCAGCCGAAATTGTAGCCGGCATGATCCGTGGTTCGAAATATTGGACATTAGAAATGGTAAGTAGAAATGTTTCAATTTTGACTACATATTAACTTCATTTGATCATGAATATGAAAAAAGTCTACGGTTAGAAACAATAGTTGAGTTTTGAATTAAATCTTGAATATTTACTTTAGATTGATGAACTCTGGAAGAAGCTTAGGCCGTTTCTGACCGAAGTCTGTCTTAATCTTAGTTCCGAAACGCTCCATCACTGGAATATGTGTTTCAAGTGTGTCATGGTTAGTTATTCACTATCTTTGACATTGTTGATTTTCTTTTTCAATTTCTTATTAATTTATCTATATTAAAGGAACATGGAGATCCTCGTCGAATGTATCAACTTATTGATTTTATTCGTACATTGATCAATAATCAAATCAATTCGAATACTTTCACTGAAACATCTCGTTGGTCTCTCATTCAAACTTTGAAAATGTTTCAATGGCGTATTCCGTCAATTTGGTGTACTATACATGAACATGCCAAAGAACTACTTGATTATTCGTTCAAACCTGTCCGTGAACATATTGCCAAGTAAGAGATATTTTAATTTCTTATATTTGTATTGAATCAAAACGAACGTTCCTTCTTTTATTTTTGAAAAAAACAGTGTGCTGTCGATATCGTTCAGCTTTGATGTGAGATTATTCAATGGAGAATCAATACGTCATCCTAATATCAATCAATGCATGGATGCTATATGTGAAAGATTGCATCAAGCTATCGAAATTTATGAAAAGACACCCCTTGGTAGGACACGACTGTACTCTTCAATCTTTTTTCTTCATCTTTAAAAGGTTATTCTCTGTTTGAATCGTACGTTCAGTCAGTATCTATGGTCAATTCGTTGAACTTGATGTTGAAGCTTGTAAAGCATTAAATTTAATTGAGACAGGTAAGGATGTCATTTTAGTTGCTAAAAAAAAATATAATATGAAATGCTTTCATTTTTATGTAATGCAATCTAGTTATTCTAATGCATACAAATTTATTTACTTTTTGTCGACAACCAATCAAAAATGCAATTCTTCGCATGTTTCCCTATGTATGTACTCATGTTTATCTTATAAAACTTAATAGCCCTATGAAATGAAACTATATCGACAATACTTTTTTCAGAGATTTACTTAATTAGGAATACAGTATCATATTGCTTTGCATTCATTTTATATACAGCTAGACGACAGGCTCGAGGTCGTCACAATTGGCGTGTGATATCGTGAAATAGTTAGAATATTTAAAAAACTCTTACTCTAGTTGTAGTTTATGGGAATTTAAATTGTCACACATAATTTTCGTCCTATTGAATTTCTTCATCGTTTATTTAGCTCTGTGAAATTGAAAGTATTGCGGCCAATGATCCTGTATTTAAAAATAATTTAGCAAACAGTCGAATGTATGTAGCTGTGGCTTATTTACATGGACACTACTTGGAAACATTGATTGAACAATTGGAACAAGTACGTATAAAAATAACATCGAGATGAATGATCAGTAGTTTTACAAAAAAAAAATGAGCATATTCTGATTAAATCAAAATCAAATGACTGATATCTTGATCGATCATAGCATAGGCGGCGGAGCCACGAGGCCTGGGTAGGCACGAGCCTACCCTTGATTGGAGTAGGGTAGGCTTGGGTAGGCTCAAGTATAGGCTTGGGTAGGCTCAGATAAAGGCTTGGGTAGGCTCGAACCAGTACAGATAAAGGCTTGACTAGGTTCGATTTAATGTAAAAATTTTCTAATATTAGATTTTCATGTTCTTCTGACACATGACGTGTTATTACAAGGTCAGTCCACATTTTATCCATTACAAACTCGCGCCCAGTGGCATACCGATTGGTTTCATTGACGTCTATATCTACGTCAAATTCTTTATTTTCAATATAAGATAATTAAACTTTTGTTCTAAACTTCTATTCAAAATAACTTTTGAATTTTAAGTAATTAAAGAACGATGCTCTTCCATAGGCGGTGAAGTCATTAGGCCTGGGTAGGCTCAAGTCTACCCTAGGCTGTCGGAGGGTAAGCTTGAGTAGGCTCAAACTTGGACAGATCAAGGCTTTGGTGGGATCTATTAAATATAAGGTTTTTCTATTATTATTTATTTTTCAAGTTTTTCTGGCACATAACACATTGTTACAGAGTCAGTGTCAGTCATAGACGGCAGAGCCATTAGGCTTGAGTCGGCGAAAGCTCATCAAGATTCAAGTTTCATGGGCTAAAAGAGGCTCAAACATTTGCTTCTCACTCTACCAGATTAACAGATTGCCTACTGTTTGAAAATTTTTGCTGTCGTTACCAGTAACTGCTAACTTTTTTAGGAAAAAAAACTAACGAGAGAACCTCCCCAGATGTAACCCTCAGATTTCAATGATTTTTTGTCCACAGGTACTACATAGTGCCCTACTAAAAACCCTAAAAGGATTTGGGTTCAGGACCCTTTCTTCAATATTTATGTATATTTGAATTTCGCTTCTATATGGGTCATAATATACAATGTTAAAAAATCAGCAATTTTATGAGAATACGATAGAAAAACGAATTTGTTTTTTTGAGAGCATTCTTAGATATTTGTTGTACTCATGAGAAATGTAAATCTTTTAGTTCTTCATATTATCGAGCTATAGAATTTCTGATTCGAGAAAAGAAAATCACATATTGATAGAGAGTGATAGTACACAATGTGTTTGGTGAATTCAATACATAAAGCAATTAATGTTGGCGGGATAGTTAGACTTTCAATCTGAGGATCTGCATTAGAGCAGTGAACAGTATTCCTCTGTTATGCGAAGGTCTATCATTCAATGATGATGTTTCTTTGTATTTGTTTTTTTTTACTACTAATTTAAGGTTTTTTTTGTTAACTTTGTCTCTAGTTTATTGAAATTTTTTATAAAAACAAAAAAGTAAAGAAAATGTTGAAATGTATAAATTTTCAAAAGACAACAAAATCAGATAGAATACTAAATAAAATTTTCTGACATCAATGAATATGATAGTCAATAAAAAAGAGTATGAAGTGCAATTTTTTACTAATTTAAGCACGTGTAATCAGTATTAACGGAAAAGAAGTTTCTTTTTAATAGGGCAATGCGCTGTTGATTTTCTTCAAGCAAACCAAATTCTATAGCTCGATAATATGAAGACCTAAAAGATTTACATTTCTCATGAGTACAACAAATATCTAAGAATGCTCTCAAAAAAACAAATTCATTTTTCTATCGTATTCTCATAAAATTGCTGATTTTGTGAAACACGATCTGAAAGGAGTGTTGAAGTGTTTAGGGTAGAAATTTTGCACCCCCCCCCCCCCCCCCCCCCCGCCCGTGACAGAGAAAATCCATACCCATCACAGACCGTGACAGAGAACCCCGGGTACCCATCACAGACCGTGACAGAGAACTCAGGTACCCATCACAGACCGTGACAGAGAACCCCGGGTATCCATCACAGACCGTGACAGAGAACCCCTGGTGCCCATCACAGACCGTGACAGAGAACCCGGGTACCCATCACAGACCGTGACAGAGAACCCCGGGTATCTATCACAGACCGTGACAGAGAACCCCGGGTACCCATCACAGACCGTGACAGAGAACCCCGGGTACCCATCACAGACCGTGACAGAGAACCCCGGGTATCCATCACAGACCGTGACAGAGAACCCCGGGTACCCATCACAGACCGTGACAGAGAACCCAGGTACCCATCACAGACCGTGACAGAGAACCCCGGGTATCCATCACAGACCGTGACAGAGAACCCCGGGTACCCATCACAGACCGTGACAGAGAATCCGGGTGCCCATCACAGACCGTGACAGAGAACCCCGGGTATCCATCACAGACCGTGACAGAGAAACTGTAGTTGTAAAGCATCAGATACACGGTCAGCTTCAAATGTGTCATATGGAAATGGAACAAAAGGATTTCCATTTAATTAGTAACAATAGGTCCATCGTGTTTCACATTTTTAATCCCGCAAGGGATTGCGCTAACAGCTTTTTTAACATTGTATATTATGACCCATATAGAAGCGAAATTCAAATATCCATAAATTTTAAAGAAAGTGTCCTGAACCCAAATCCTTTTAGGGGCTTTAGTAGGGCACTATGTAGTACCTGTGGACAAAAATTCGTTGAAATCTGAGGGTTACATCTGGAGAGGTTTCCTCGTAAGTTTCGTATGACTAAGTATTGCAACGAACATTGACAATGAGTTCATGTTATGCTCGTTTGTTACAAATGAAGAATAACCCTACAGGATACAGTCATATCTGCTGTACTATGTCCAAAATTCTCTCCCCTCTCTGCGATTAATCTCAGATGCCAATCAAATATTTTCAACAAACTGAACAAACTCACAATGAGATTCCTTTTTCGTGAGCACTGCTGTGTCGCCATAATTCTAGTTTCCAGTAATACAAATCAAAAACTTTTTCCAAGATGCAGCTCATCAAATAGATTCAGAATCTAATCGACTCCGAGCCTGAGTCTAAAATCTTTCTGTTGACCACAGTCAGATCTGGATCCAGGTACAAGTCCTCGTATTCAGACCTGACGGGTTCTACCTGCACGTAAGAGCCAGTTATAACAGGCTTATTACGAGATTACCGTTAAAATTGTTTGAAAAATGTGTAGCATGTGTTGGTCACCGAAAAATTAATCGAAAAAAATGTAGTATCTTTCAAATAATTGTCAGATCAGGAGTAAAACAATTGCATTGAGAGTGCGAGGATTGCGAACCCGGCTTCGGATCCAAGAATTTTGCATCCGATGGACTATATCTGAAGGTCACTATTCAATCAAAAAACAAGTTTAAGTGACTCTTTGAATACAAGTTTTTTGCCACAAGTTGTAAACTCATCCCTGATCTGCACTAATGTTATGCATTAAAAAAATTGAGTTCAAAATAAACAGTATTAATTGTGTTTTATTTGAATGTCATAGCATAAAAATTACCTCCTCTATTTTTAACCTGTCGGTAAGGCTCCTATAAAAAATATTGAGCCTACCCTAGATTCAAACCGTTCCGCCGCCCCTGGATCATAGAGTTCTAAATGTATTTTATTCCCGAAGAGTCAGTCGATTACGCCAAGTGTGTTTTTGTTTTCTCTTGACATACAGGTGTGTACAAGTACCAAGTGGCATGCACGTCAAGCAGCCATTGAATTTGTTCAAAGCATGATCTTTTGCAATCTATTCAATGCTCGTCCTTATGCTAAACGACTACATGAACTTGTACTCAAATGTCTATTTGATGAACGGTTAGAAGTGCAAACAGTTGCATCGATGACATTGTCAGGCTTGTACCAGTGTGGCTACATTCAAATGATCGATCATGATCTGGTACGATGATTTTTGGTTTTTTTTTTCGATTACTATAAAGTTAATTTTATTTGAATATTTTCAAAGAAATATTTTCGTGTCATGGCGAAAACCAAGTATTTTATGAAGATCGATGGAAAAAAAGTGAAGTCGACGAAGAGTATTGTCAAGCGACACGGCGGTCAGTATATGTGTTAATAAATTCCATTGAATTTGTTGTTACAGTCACAGTACTGAGCATTAATTGACACTACAAGCGAGATTTAACTGTAGGTTTCCATATATGGATGCACATTTTTCTGTACATAAATAATAACTCGATATTCCTTACCGATATATTATTTGAGAAAAAAAAATTGTTGATGTTGAAACTTTTAGAGTTTTCTCAGGACATCAAGTTTCATCATTCAGTAAAATGTCAGGTCGAAATTTTGATATTTGAATTTCTAGTCAACTCCTTGCCGCAGACTGAATATTCAGTAGAATGTATTAATTCAAGAAAGAATAAACATAAGATCGGACGTTCTTTTTCACGTCTTTACATTTGAATTGTTGTAGGTGTCTTGGGTCTCTGTGCGATCGTCCTCTCTAGTCCATATGATATTCCAACTCATTTACCAGACACATTGATGATTCTTTGCGAACATTCTCATGATCCTGATCCGATACAAGTGAGTATTTTTCTTCTTGTCATAGTTATTAGCAAACAAGCTGTTATTTCTCTTTAGAAATCGATTAAGCAATGTTTGTCCGAGTTTCGTCGTACTCATTATGATTCATGGCATGAACATCAGGAAAAATTCACCGAACGTCAGCTTCTGATTTTAGCTGATGCATTCATTTCTCGTAGTTATTATGCCTGAAAGTCCGATGATATATGTGTGTGTGTACAGTGTAGCTTGATATTTTATTTTCTTACGTATAGTGCATTCTTTCTTAAACAGAAATAAATTAGTCACATGCTCACTATGAGTAGAGCTTGCTGAAAAAGCACATCTCTGCAACGTCATCGGTCGCGTCTACTAACTTTCATTCATATATCATCATCTTGAAGACATCACAAGTAATTTTCGAAGCATTTTATTTAATAGCATAATTCATGTGACGTTATTGGAAAAGGTTCTATTCAACTTGTTCGAACTTTTCATTTATCAGAACTCTATTTGTTCAAAATATCTGATAACCATTTTGGTGGTTTTAAGAACACCATCTTACCAATGATGACTGATTCTCATCTTATTTCACTTGACGTCGAATTTGTAAATATTCATTATGTTGAACTTTTCCTCAATGAAGCAAAAACACACTTCTCTCGTTTAAATGAATTAAACATCCATTATCATAAATTGGAAATCGTGACAGGAAACTTTACAGCAGATATAACGCGACGAACGTGTGTGCTAGAGTGAAATGACTAGATGTCAAAGAATCAGTAGTTTGTCTGAAAGATGTTTATCACTATTTTCCTTCTTTGTAAATTTCATTTTGGTTATGATATTATCTGAATAGGAATTTTTGAGTGTACAATTATAAATTCTGTTTTTCTTACAAAATCAGAGGAGTTGCAAAAAAATGAGATTTGTCTATGAAGACAAAATCTGCTATGAAAACTTAGTTGTTGTCAGAAACAACTACAGATATAATGTTATGTGTTTGTGTGACATAATGATTGAAAAATAAATTTTGATAGATGAATAAATTTTGAAAGTGAAATCTACTCAACATCATATTTTTTGTTACTTAATAGAATGATCATCTTATATTGATCAAGTTTATTTTTGATTTGCATTGTTAATCATAATATATTTTCGATTGTTCTATTTCAATCAATGAAAGAACTCACTGCTAATAGTATCCATTAAAGTAGTGAAAACAAATAAGTGAATAGAATATTGGTAATGATGTATGATTGTTGGAAGATACAATACACATTAATTTTACAATCATGCTTCTTTACAAATCTGGAAGTGATACGGATAAGCTTTGAATAATATTATACATGTATATAGTAAATACAGACTATTTTCATACAAGGATTAGATATAAAAATTATCTTTGAATAAAGACATAGAAGAATGTGTCGCTGAGCAGAATTAAGATATACAGTACAACTCGAAAACAAATTTGTCAGCTTTATTCAAACGTTGAGTGGTACAATAGTGCAAAAGTTGACTACTTAAAAAGGTGTGGATTCGGATAATCGCTTTCCCTATACACACACACCCCCTATTCGTTATATTGGCAAGAATCATTGTTTCTGTTTAGCTGGATACTTGAAGTAGAAATACTTATAACAGATATGTTTTTCGGTTTAGTAGTGCTTTTTTTGCTTCAGATTCTGTTCAATGTTGCACTTTTATCAACATAATTTTTTTTAGTCAGAGTGCAACGTTCTACTTGGGAGGAGGGGGAGGGGATCATATTCAATAAATCTGACGGAAATCTTAGTATACATTTATATTATCTGTGGTTTTTCTATTTCACGTTGAGACCGGAAGTATCGAGATGGCCATTTCTTGATTCTGATTTTAAAACCATGAGGATATAGAAACATTTTCTTTTCTGCATTATACAGTAACATCTCGAGTACGTTCAATTTTTTATTTACCGATAAGTATGGTATAGAAAACTTTTCTCATATATGTGTTTGTTACTAGTTATCTTCAATCATTTTATCAGTGTCTTTTTTGTGTCTATTCATTGTATTCTTGCAGAATGTTTATGGTAGATTGTGCCGGGTGAGAATATTTTCGATCGTTTGTAGTAGGCGAACACTGCGCGGGTCGACAGCAAATGAATTGAAATCAAGATAATTGCACACATGTGCATAGACCAAATGGCGTGATGGAATGGCTAAGGCGCAACTGCCACCAATTCCTATAAAAAAAAACACAAATGTGTGATATGAAATCGTTTCTAGTGACATTCTTCCTTTCATTGTAGTGTCTTTTATGCAATACTCAGTGCTCAAGTGTGAATTCCGACTTATTTTCTATCAATATTAGTATAACACAAAAATAGTTTACATGTTATGGAGCACGGATTACTTTTAAATATCTTACCTGTATGACCGAAAACATTGCTACCCAATGTTTTAAAATCATCGCTATATATTTCAAAACCACCCATTCCATACACTGTAGGCCATCCAAACAAAGTACGATCGGGCTCACCTGGTGGTGTGACATTTTTAGTCGCTCGTGCCAGTGTTTGCTCCTTTAATAGACACTTTTTCTTTTCGCCATTTTCATTGACATCACCAATAAGGAGAGCATAGATGCGAGCAAGTGAACGAGCATTTGTAATACCATTACTAGCAGGAAGTTCAGCTCGATGAAGTCGAGCTTCATTGAAGGCAATGATAGTTTTACTGGGTTGTTTCATCGGAAAGGCCCCATTACATGTTAATGCTTTTTCAGTGAACTGATCCATCGGAAGAGCATCATTGGTGTTGCTATTCTCCTAGAAGAAGAAAGTCAAATTCAATTATCAGTTACGGGTAAAAGTATGTTTGAAGAAACAAGAAGTGTCAAATTCTCTAAACTGTAAAAATGATCAAATTCAACATCGAATCGTTTCAAAGGAAGAAATCCCAGATCTTCAGAAGCTCAGAGTATTCTACGATAGTACGAGATGAAAAAAAGATCAAATCACTTCTATTTCACCTGTTTTTGAATGAGAGGAGCAACACGTGCTTCAACTTTATCGTTAGGTACACCCACGTAAAATTCATTGTCCAACTCATCACGAACGAATTGACCATATGAACGGTGTTGCGGATCGACACGATGTATCAATTCGCCAACAATATATCCAATGGTGTGAGCATGATATCCATGTGCTGTTCCAGGTTCCCAGTGAGGTTTTTGAGAAGCTAATAAAGACGTCATTCGAGACCAATCGAACGTATCATTAACAGTAAGTTGTTGATCAACAAATGGCAAACCAGCTCGATGAGATAATACGTCTCTTAACAAGATGTTCTTTGTGAAAACAATATAGAGATAGACGGTCAAAAATTTTCATATCAAATATGCTTAGTACCTCCTTGTTGTTGGCACTAAATTCAGGCCAGTATTGAGCTACAGGTGCATCATAATCAAGCCAACCATTCTCGACACATAATGCCACAGCGGCAGCCATAACTCCTTTCGATGTTGAAAAAACAAGCTGTAGTGTATCTGATGTGTACGGATCCTTCTTTGTTTTTGCATCCTTCCATCCACCCGTTAAATCTACTACACATTTTCCTCGATGATAAACACATAAACTTGCACCAATGTCCAGTTCGTCAATCAGATTTTGTTCGAAAACTGACTGTATACTCACCCAGTCAGGTGCTGCATAGCCTTGCACGTTGTTTCTATTCGATGTCGAAGACATTCGTAAATTGACATTTACTTCGACACATTTTATTTTTGTTTTTTGCAAATGTCTCTCTTTTGCGTTCTGTGCTTGTAATGCTTTCGAGGCAACACTGACAAAGGATAGATTATTGACATGCTTATTTTATCTCAAATATCAAATATCAAGGTATTTTTCTACACGTGAAACATTACATATATATGGCATAGATTTAAAATATGATAACTGTTGTTAGGTATACAGTTTATTTGTGAATTTCAAATCAAATGATTCTCACATAATATATTAAAGGTTAGAGAAAAAATGGAATGTACGAATAGATAATATAACACAGTTAGAAAAATAAATGAGTTATTGTATCAAAGCAAGAAAGATAGTAGAAGACGAAATCAAGGCAACGCATTATGAAAATACGTGGCTCACACGTCTTCATTAACTTCACAATACTAATATAAAATACACAAAGTGTAAAATCTCTAAACAACAATAGTTGTTTTCCACCATAATCAATCGCTAGAGTAAAGATCTGTGCTATTTATTTCTGCATCTGGAACAGAATTTTTTTGTAGATGCACAATTTTTTGTTTGCATTGTTGCTATTCATTTGTTATTTGTCATTTTTCTATCATGTTTTTCTTAATTTATCATTTGTATCATTGCAACGACCAGTTTGTATAAGCCAGTCACAACCAACTCCTATAGAGGCTGCTCAATCGAAGTCGTTAGGTGTTGGTAAATTTAAGAAGTGTGGTAAAGGGAAGAGTTTCAAGAATTTTGGCGTAAGCTGTTTGAAAAAATATTGTTCTGTTCCCGAGAAATTGATATTTTTTTGAGAGTACTATTATCACAAAAGCACTTTTTTGTGATCTTCATATCTCGACAAATAAACATTCGTTTGACTTGAGATTTTTTACTGTGCATATACTTCAAACTGGTGCACTGATAAATAAAATGGGTTCATAAGAGAGACCTATTGATGAATGGATTAATAGTATCAGATACACGAAAATACGGTCGTTGTCAGTGTTTTGTGCATGTATATATCTCATTTACAGATAATGTTAGAGAGTTGAGATTTTTGCTATAGAAAAATTTGACTGAGCAGCTACTCTGGTAAATATTCAGCTCTACGTGGTTTCAATGACTAATACAGTGAGTGTCCAAAAAAAGCATGCACTTTTTTATTTTTACACATAAACGAATAATAAGGATGTTATAAAAATTTTCTCTTATATCTAATTTTGTAGAGCCTTTTTCGCTGATCATTTTGGTAAAAAAACTTTTTGATTTTCATTGAGTAATGACAATGTTATAGTCAAAATACTAAACACTGTAACATAAAGTAGGGAAAAAGTTTAGCACACTTTTAGTATTTGACTAATTTTTACGTTATTTCACAACATCTGAAGGATGTTTTCTATACCATTCGATGCAGAATTTAATGGGCTACATTTTGATAGAAAGTGCTTATACTTATATTGTAGTTAATTAATTAATTAATAGTTAAGTGGTAGTTAATTAGTAGTTAACAATAATTAGCAATTAAATAATAAAGTTTCGATTTATTTTTAAATTCCAGCTATATCATTCGAAAGAGCATAGAAAGCTGAACAAAACTCTATAATTACCATTTGGAAAGCAACGAATTTGGTGAGGTTTTCGTGTGATTTTCAGAGTATGCTCACTTGTAATTAGATATAGTATTCATTATTTTTAATAACTTTGTCATGAAATGACACATGTAATACGCGAAAACCGGCGCATTTTAAACAGCATCATTTACTCTTTCAAATGACATATCACTGCTTCCTCTGCAATATTCTATACAAATTTTATAACGTCTTTAGTTGTAAAAACTAATTCAAGCCATACTTTCCAGCTATTTTTTTGTTATTTTGCTTTGTATATTTCGAAAGACGTTATAACATTTTTGTAGAATATTGCAGAGGAAGCAGTGAGATGTCATTTTAAAGAGCAAATGATGCTCTTTAGAATGCACCAGTTTTCGTGTATTTGATGTGTCGTTTCAGGATTGAACTTATTAAAAATAATGAATACTATATCTAATTACAACTGAACATACTCTGAAAATCACACTAAAACCTCACTAAATTCGTTGTTTTCTAAATAGTAATTATAGAGTTTTGTTCAGTTTTTTAGGGTGTGGATGTGGGTGGGTGTGTGGGTGTGGGTGTGGGTGGGTGTGGATGTGGATGAAGGGAAGATCCGCATCCACACCCACACCCACACTCACCCACACCCACACCCACACTCACCCACACCCACACTCCACACACCCACACTCTGCATTCACACTCCCACATCCACATCCTCAACTTAAAAGAATACTGATATATATTATCTACCACTGTGCCATAAAAAGCAAGAAAACCCTATGTGAATTCCCATTTACGATTCAGAAAACAATTTGTTCTCTCTCTTTACCGTAATTGCAGAACAGAACAATGGGAATTAAAATTTATATTGAGAATTCATTGTTTCTGGTCCTTTCTCCGTCTCTCTATGGTGGTCCTATTGAAATTATAATTCATGATTTCGATTCTAATTTTTCCTCAGTTTCTCTTGTAGTCATAGGACAATCATGTGTGCATTATAATTTATATGTCGAATAGATTTTTATTCTACCTTCCGTACGTAGCTACTGGATCGCACAACGGCAAATTCATTCTACAAACCAAATGAAAATTCTCTCTTGTCTCTTTATCGCAGTTGCAGAACAGCACTAAAGGGATTATACTTATGATGAGAATCCAACATACTTTCTGTATATTTACTGCATCTGTAGGAATACCCTATCTAGATAATAATTTATACTCTGCATAAAATTTTTTTTCTGGAGCACTGTCGAACTTTCCGAGCAGCATTATAAGGATTACAATTTATTATGAGAATTGAACTATTTCCCAGTCTCTCGGATTTATATTTAGGAGAGCCCAATCTGAATTTGAATTTACGAATCGAATCAAGTTTCTTCTACCTTTTTGTTGTAGTTTCACAATAGCAATATGAAGGTCTTCATCTATAATAAAAACTCATTTTCTTGCAGCCATTCTATCGTGGCAATATGACAGCCCGAAGTGAATTATAATTTATAATTCTAACAGAACTTTTTTCTGTTGTAGACATAGGACTATTCTCTCTGAAATATACTATATAAATCGAACAAATTGTTTTCCGATTCTCTCTTGTAGTTCCAGCGCTGCACTATCTGGATTATAATTTATACTAAGAATTCAACCATTCTACGCTCCTCTTGGTTTATCTTTCGGGGAGCCACATCTGAATTTCATTTTACAATTCAAACAATTTTTTTCTATCCTTTCTTCGTTAGTTATAGAACGTTCGTATATTAATTATAATTTATCACTCGAGTAATTTTTTCTGCTTCTCTCTCCTAGTTACAGGGATCTTCTGTGTGAGTCATTATGTAAACGAAATTGTTTTTGCGTTGTCTATCATAGTTGGACAATAGCACTACGCAGATTTTCATTTGTAATAATTATTCAGCCATTTTCTGAACTTTCTGTTGTTTTAATAGAACAGCCCTAGATTAATTATAATTTATAATTCAAATAAAATTATTTTCTTTCTTTTTGTTGTAAACATAGGATAGCGTTGTGAGAATATTAATTTATGATTCAATTGGATTTTTTTTGCTTTCTGATGAATTTAGAGGACAGTTGTATGTGAAATGTAATGTTAGATTCAGATCAAATTATTTTCTACGTTTCTGCCGTAGGCAGAGGACAGTCGTATTTAAATTATAATATGTAATTCGATATAAAATTTTTTTCTTGCACTCTGTATTAGTTCTGAGCACTACTGTAGTGATGGTGACTTATAAAAATAATTAAATATTGATACACCTACTGACTTATCTTCAGAGAAGTCCTATCTGAATTTGAATACACAGTAGAAATAGAACTCAGTTTTGTGTTTCTAGCGTGATAAAGGAACAATTCTGTGTGAGCGATAATTGATAATTCGAATGAAATTATGTTTAGCTCTTTTTTTAGGACAGTCCTTGGTGAATTAAAATTTGGAATGTGAATAAAATTTTTCAATGCTTCTTCGGCATGTTTATACGACATCCTTATGTTACTTATAGTTTAAACTTTGAATAAAATTGTTTTTCCTCTTTTTATCGTAGTTTCAGAGCTACACTGTGTGGATGATGATTAATAATAAGAATTCAATTTTTCTCTGGCCGTTCTAGCTTATCTTTATGGAAACCCTATTGGAACTTCAATTTACAATTCAAATAATTTTTTTCATTCTTTTTTGCGTTAGTTACAGGACGCTCGTATAATAATTATAGTTCATCCTTCGAATAATACTTTTTTTCTGGCTTTCTTCTGTTATAAGAGTGACACTATGTGGATTTTCATCTATATAATAAGAAATCAATTTTCTTTTCGTCTCTCTGCCGTAGTTTAGAACAGTCAGATACGTATTACGGTTCATAATTCACGTGAAATTTTTTTCTGTCGCTCCTATCTAGTGATTGAAGAGCCATATGAAAATTTTAGTTTATAACTTGAAATAAATTTTGTTTCTATCTCTCAGCTGTATCTATATATGATACTCCTATTTCAATTATAAGTCATTATTCGAATATAGATTTTATTTTGAGGTATTCTGGTCTACTTTTTCATCGAAACTATCATATTTATTCGAACTCGTAAGAGCCGTAAACTCTCTTAACGGGAGTATTTTACTATAGATGTTTCTAATCTTGTCGCTGTTTCAATTCTAAG